CACACAGCTGACCCGGGTTCGATTCCCAGCATCCCATATGGTCTCCTGAGCAGGTGTGATTCCTGAATGCAAAGCCAGGAGTAACCCCTGAGCATCCACTGGATGTGACCCAAAAAAGCAAAAAAATAAATAAATAAATAAATAAAAATAAAATTTAGACGGGGATTAAAATTAATGAATTCATGGCATGTAAAGATTTTTTTCGTTTAGTTTTTAATTTTTAGGCCACTCCTGGAGGTGCTCAGGGTTTTCTCCTGGATGTGCACTCAGGAGTCATTCCCAGTGGTGCTTGGGGACCATATGGAATGCCCGGGATTCAACCTGTGTGTAGAACAAACCCCTGCCGTACTATCACTCCAGCCCACAGGATAGTTTTCTTTTTGTTTTTGGGCCACACCTGGCAATGCTCAAGGGTTACTCCTAGCTTCGCACTCAGGGATCACTTCTGACAATGCTCAGGAAACCACATAGTAAGGCAGGGATTGAAATTGGTTTCACAAGGAAAGTGCCCTAAGGGTTGTACCATTGTTCTGACCCCAAGGCAGGGTTTTTTTTTTTAATTGAATTAAATTTAAGTGAGATACATAGCTGCAAAATTGTTCATGATTGGGTTTCAGTCATATAATGGTCCAAGACCAGTTGGAAAGGATCAGCACCTGTCCCTTCACCAGTGTACATCTCCCACCACCAATGTTCCCAGTTTCCCTCCAGTTTCTCCCTCCCCCTGGCCTCTATGGTAGGCTCTTTCTCTCAGTCTCTCTCTCCCCCCTTCCCTCTCCAGAGTTTTTTTTTTTTCTATAGAAAAAAGTTTGCAGGGCTGGAGTGATAGTACAGCAGGTAGGGCATTTGCCTTACATGCATCCGACCCTGGTTGGATCCCATATGGTTCCCAGAGTAACCTCAGGAGTGATTGCTGAGTGCAGAGCCAGGAGTAAGCCCTTCACACTGCCCGGATGTGGCCCCCAAATAAGAAAGATGTGTGGGATGGGTAAGAGAGAAATAGGTGTTCAAGAGAAAACACCAACTTCGCCAGAGTGAAAAAAGCAAAGATCCATAGAAACAAGCAAGTGAGATACTAGTCCACCGCAAGCAATATGCCTTGTTTTGAAAAGAGGGTGTAACAGCTATGTGTACCTAGGTCGAGAAGTCAACATGACAAATGACCTGGCACCCGAGCTGCGCAGGAGGAAGAGAGCGGCTTGGAACGCCTTCAAGAACGTTGAAGAAATAGCTAAGAGGACGAAGAACCTCCGGCTCCGGGCACATCTCTTTGATTCCACTGTTCTTCCTGCATTAACATACGCCTCAGAGACCTGGGCCCTACGCAAACAGAATGAGAACGCTATTCGGGTCTCCCAAAGAGGAATTGAAAGAGCTATGCTTGGAATATCACATTTCACTCAAATGAGAGAAAGAATCCGGAGTTCTGACATCCGTCGACGATCAAGAATCAGGGACGCTGTCTCGTTCGCCAAGGTGTCAAAAATCAGATGGGCTGGTCACGTAATGAGATTTAAAGACGACCGCTGGACTAGAGCTGTTACCAACTGGATTCCATGGGATGTCAAAAGACCGCGTGGCCACCCACCTACCAGATGGTCACACTTCTTCATCAAGATCATGAACAATCAGTTTGAGGCTCTTCGTGTTCCTAGAGCGAACAGATGCCATTGGGCTACACTAGCACGTGACAGGGACAAATGGAGCCGTTACTGGTGCCCTCTCGAGCAAATCGACGACTAACAGGAAGTCAAGTGATCAACTGGGTGGGGTGGGGGCGGAAAGGATTAAGTGCCTTTGTATTCCAAACAACCCAAGGACCCATTAGTACTCTCATGATAATCTATTACCAGAGTACTCACAATATTAGAAACTATTACTCTCTTACTAAAGACTTCTCGCCAGGGGCCCAGGAGTAAAGAAAGGCGCTAGAATCCAAAGCCATCGCCCATTGCAGAAGGCCCTTGCAACTCACTCCTTTTGTTGTCATTCAGGGACTTCCATTCATCTCTGCTTCCTAATTGGCTCCAGAAACGTTAAAATAATGCGGAGAAACAGTAGCAGTTCTAGAAATAAAGCACGTCCATATATGCTTTAAAAGGCCATAGCTGGGAAGCTGAATATGCCCCCACGCCCCTGGGTCCCTTGGAAGGGAGGGCGAGGAGTTTCCCGGGGCTCCCGCCCTGAATTGGGGGGGGGTCTGAACTGATGGGGGGTGGGTGGGCTCTGAACCGCGAGCGAGACTCAGCCAGACCGCAGAGCCAGGCGGGACGCGTGGCGGATCCTGGCCCACCAAATGCCATCTGGTCTCGAAAAGCCACATGTCAGGTTGCAACTACTTGGGGGGTGGGGGTGGGGTGCGGGTGAAGGAGTGGAGGGGGGAATAGGAAATGCAACGCTTTAAGTTGGGGGGGGGGAAGGGGGGCAAACATCTGGCTAGACCGGCCACCCTGTTCAACCTGAGGGCAGCATCATTAGATGAACTCGGAAAGGAAAAAAAAATAAAATTAAAAAAAAAAAGAAAAAACCCGTAACCCCCCAACCCCGAACTCCACGACCAAAGTGTCAAAGCGCGCCGTCGTGCATTTGGCGACGTTCACGGGTGTGTGTGTGGGGGGGGGGGGGGGGGACACCAGGAGGTGCCCACCCTTTGCAAAAGCTCCCCCTCGGGGAGTGCCACTGGCGACGCCCGGCTGGCCTGCGGCTTCGGCAACCGGGGTGGGGGGGGGGGACCCTTTGGCACGTGGAGGTGTGGGCGGTGGGGGGGGGCGGGGGCGACGCACCCATCTCCCGCAGCCCGGGCAAACACTGCAGCACTGCGGGAGCGAGGCAAGCCCGCGTCCACCCGGAGGGAGGGAGGGAGGGAGGGAGACTCGGCGGCCGGGCCGGGGAAGCCCGAGGCGAGCCGGGCGGGCGGGGCCGGCGGGGCGCGGGGCGGGGCCGGCGGGCGCCGGGGGCGGGGCCTGGCGGGGCGCCGGGGGCGGGGCCTGGGCGGGCGCGCGCGGGCCGCGCGGCGGGAGGGTGTCGCGCCGAGGGAAGCGGCCCGCGGCGGAGGGAGGGGAGGCCGCGTCCTGGAAGCGGAGCTCCGCGCTGGGACTGGTTCCTTCGCAGCCATTTTCTGTCCAACCAAACAGCCGATTGGAGACGGGAGCCAACCAGGGCTGCATTGGAGGTTTGTGTCTCGCTTCGGCCAATGATCGCTCCTAGAGCGACTCCACTTTCGCTCGAATGAAATGTCCGTCTGCTGCGGGCGCCGTCCCCGCGCCGCCAACGCCAACGCCGCCGCCGCCGCCGCCGCCGCCGCCGCGGCCGGGGGGCCACTCGCCGCCCGCCCGCCCGCCCGCCCGCCGCGACGGGCCGGGCCGGGCCGGGGCTGCAGCAGCCGGGGCTGGAGCTGGAGCCGGCGCTGGAGCCGGGGCTGGAGCCGGGCCGCTGCGCTGCGCTGCGGCTCTTTGTGCGGGCCGCGGCGGGCCGGGCTCGGGGCTCGGCGCCGGCTCCATTTTGTGCGGGGCTGCCCGGGAAGGGGGTCCCGGGGCGGCGGCGGCGGCGGCGGTGCTGGTGGTGGTGGGGGGCGCCCCCCGGGCCCGGCCGCTTTGTGTGCTGCCCCGGGCCGGCGGGCGTTGGGCGACGGGGCGCGGGGCCCGGGGCCGCGGCGAGTCGGGGGGCTGCGCTCGGGCGGGACTGACAGGTCGCGGCCGGGGGGCGCGCGGGGGGCGCGGGCCGGGACCATCTGGCGGGGCCCCCGCGCGGTGGGGCCAGGCAGCGCCCGGGTTTTTTTTTTTTGGGGGGGGGGTTGGGTGGGTTTCCGAGGATGCATGACGATGATGATCATTATTTTTATTTTGTTTTCGGGGCGTGGGGGAAGAGAGGCTGTGCCGACCCCCCATACACACACACACACACACACACCGCGCCCCCAGTCGGCGAGAACAAAGAATTCCGGGGCGCCGCTTCCCCCCCCCACAACCCCCCACCCCCACCCCGGGGGACCACGCTCGCGGCCCCCGGGCAGCCGCGCGGGTCCCCAGCACCTAGCACCCAGCACCCTCCTCCACCTCCCCGACTCCGGAGGGCCCCGAGCCGGGACGCGGGCGAGCCGCGCTCATTCATCCGCAGGGGGGTCTCGCGGCGGGGAAGTCGGCAAAGTTGGAGCCCGATTCCCTTAAAAGGCCACTCGGTGCCCGCCCGCCCCCCACCCAACCCGCGCGCGCCCCGCGGCTGCTCCCGAGTTTCGGGGGGCCCCGGCGGGGCTGGATGCAAGAACTCGGGGGGGTGTGGGGGTTGCTGCTGGGGCGGGGGGTCGGTGCCAAAGAACGGAGGGAGGATGGAGGGGAGGAGGGTCGGTTGCTTTTTTTCTTCTTTTTTTCTTGGATACAGATTTGCATTTCTTCCAACGTTAAACAGATGTATACATTTCCACCCCCCCACCCCCGGGAGCGTGCACATTTATCACGACCTGCCCCAGGAAGAAAATACAGACCCGATGTGGGGGCCCCTCGCGGTGCTCGCTGGGCTCTGCCCAGACACACCAAAAAAGACACACAAACTATTGGGGTGAATGACTGTGAGGTCTGGGGGGCGGTGGGGGGAAGGAGGAGAGTGGGGTGCAGCAAAATACATCAACACCACCCCCAGAGCTTTGGTTTGGTTTGGTTTGGTTTTTCCCTCCCTCTCAAAACATCCTTTTAAAAAAAATAGTAAATAAAATAACCACCCCAGCTAGCAAGGAAGGAGTTTGGGCTAGGACAGAGCCCAGGATTTGAAAAGGAGATACTGTTTTTCCCTATGTTCCAGTGTCAGCTCTGGCAGCGTCTTGGCTTGCCTGGACCCCTTGCAAAGGCATTTTGAAAATTGGAATTCACTGGCAGCGAATTTATTTCCTCCTCACTCCTCTTTGCTAAATTTCGGGCTGGAAGGGGAATGGATGTGTTTTCGCCCTTTAAAATTCACCACAGGGAGGGTATGTTTTTGTTTTGACATAGCCCGCCCCCACACCCCCCCCCCCCCATTTAATTGTTTCACTTGAAAAAGGGCAAGAGCAAATGAGAAATGGAAATTGTAACGTTGTAATTGATGTCAATTTATTCAGCTGTTTATACTTTACAGTGGGAATGAAGTGCTATTGAGATGTAATTTTATTCCAAAATGGTGGCGTTGCTTTAAAAGTAGAAATAAAGGTCTTAATTGAGTGTACTCGTCAATGTGTGTTCTGTGCGCAGTGATTCTTCTTTCCAGAATCATCTGAGCTATTTAATTTGGAGGCATTACGTTCTGAGATACATTTTTCTTGAGTTCGTGCACCCTGAAGACACATTCTCCGGCGTTAAGAACCCACCGTCCCATATTAAGTTGATGAGTAGGGCATTACTATTTTTAAGTAGTTCAGATGTATAATTTGGAGGCTTGCATGGTTGATTTGACATGTTACGATGAGTATTTACATTGACTGTGACTAAGTTCAGGATTCTATTAGATTAAGTTTTCAGGCTTCTCCGGAATTTTCTGATTTAGCGGGTGCCTGCTTTTTTTTTTTTTTACATCGTTTTATACCCGGGACTCCCGTGAGTAAGAATGGGGGGTAAAATTATCTGTGTCTTTTAATTTTAACTGGGCAGGAAGCCTGTAGGCTATATCTTTTTAATAGATGTTTATCTTCTAGGTTGAAAGTGGGCAAAGATTGGGCACCTTTTTCCCCCGGTGTTCTTGAGTCTGAATCCACTGACGACTGACTGTGTTTCATGACAGTAAGTGCATACCATGTTACTTGTTAATTTGATTTGAACAGTAATTACTTGGAGACAAAAACCATAACTGACATATATTGGTGATTCCTGATGGGGTGGATGCCTTTCAGGTCAGACAGTCCCTGGGCCCACTCCGGGTCTTTCTGGGGTTCCATGTCTTACAGGGCTTAGTTCTTGGTTCCCAGGGGTCCTTAAGTGCTGTCAGGGTTACAGGATGAAAAGCTTCTCCCAGTTCTCAGACACTGTGTGTTCAGCTGGTAGGCCTTCCATCACATTGAATATTTAAAGGACAGTTTTGTGTGGGACAGGACAGACTGGGGTTTGTTTTGGGTTCTGTTTTTGCATGCCGGGGATCAAACCTAGAGCCTTCCCCCTCACCAAGGCACAGGCTGTGCTTCTGAACTTCATCCTGGTCCCTAGGAAATGCTGGTGTTAAGTGGAGCCCAAGAGAATAGAAGGAAGGTGTGGTAGACCCTCACCTTTGGGAAGGTGGGGGTGGGGGGAGGGTCTCAGGCCTCAGCAGAGCCTTGAAGACTGAGTGGGATTTAGGTAGGTAAAGCCCTGGTGCCGGCGGGGAGAGCTCCGTGGTCAGAGCCCCGAGGGACCTGAGCCCTGTCTTGTCCTGGGTCCACTCCCATCCAGGGCCTCTGTCTCTGGAGGCCCCCCGGCCCCTTGGCCAGTATTACCAGCAGCGCCCCCTCCCCCCTACTTCAGCACAGGCAGAAACCTAATGGTCCGGGATGAGTGACAGCTCCGGGCAGGGTCCGGAGGGGAGGGCCGGCAGGATAATCTAGTGACAAGATACCGCTTGCCAGGCCCCGGCTGCCGGTGATCCTCTGCTTTTATCTGTGACCTCAGGCATGTCACAACTCACTTCCTCCATTGGCAGTCGCCTCCTGCTGAAAGAGGAGAGCTGCTGCACCCAGCCGCCCCGCGGCAGGCGCCCAGCACCCTCGGGTGTTTCCAGGACCCGGGAACAGGTGGAAGGCCCTTCAGTTAGGTGACGTGCCGCTCCCGGTTCCAGAACTGTAGGAGAGTAACCCAGTGGGAGTAGAAAAGGAAACGCAGCTCCCGATGACACCATGAAGACTAGCTAGAACTCGAAAGAGGGGGGGAAGCCTGGAATGACTGACATATTTTGCCTATAAAAAATGGTGTCATTGGTATTAGATTTGGAATCGAGTGGGCCACTTGCTCTGCATCTGTGTGTGAGGTTCTGGGTTTGATGCCTGGCAGAAGAGAAGGAGGGGAAAATGACAATTTGCAAAGGACCCGAGAGCTCTTCTCGGTTGCCTCCTTGCAGGGGATGGGAGGTGAGTTTGAGTTTGCAGTGTCTTCCGTTTGCAGGAATGTGATATCCAGCACATTCCACAGGCAGCTCTTGTTTGAGGAAGTTAGCAGGCAGGATATGATTGCAGATGTTAGGAAGCATCGAAGTGGTATGTAATGAATCCATTTGAGAATAAGAGATGAGAGAGAGAGAAAAGATCACTTTGGAGAAAATTAGTAAATAGGAATTAGGTGGAAAGAACATTGCCTTGAAAGTCAAGGGGAGACAAGAATTTCAAGTATTCATGTCAGTTCTGCAGTGACCCCGCTGCCAAAAACCCCAAGAGAGTGAAAGCGGTGTTTCGATAGCTAAGAACAACCTCAGACCAGAGATGGGGTCACTGGGATCAGTGCACTCTCCTTGCTTGCAGCTGGCCCCGGTTCAGTCCCTGGAACTGCCGGGTTTCGACCCTGAGCGCAGAGCCAGGAGTAAACCCTCAGGTGTGACACAGAAACAAAAGAATAGTCTCTCTCTCATCTTGGGGTGAAAAAGCACTTGGCAAGGGAGTTTGAAGAGGGACGAGGAAGTGCGTACGGACTCCGATTTTCCCAGCTTCTGTGTGCTGTCGGTTTTAGGAGGGAGTCAAAATGTGTTTAAGGGAGAGTGAAGATAAACTAGAGGTGAAGGGGGCTCTTTTGTGTTGTTTCTTGTCCCCAAAGAGACAAGGAGGACTGTGATCCCAAGAACAGGTGGGAGGGAGGGTTTTGTCAGAGGGGAGACTCGCATGCCTGGAAAGCAGATGAGAAGAGTATTCGCGGGGTCAGTTACCAGCTTGGTCACATTTGTTGAGTCCTTGTCATAGTGAGTGAGTTCTTTATTTGGTGGTGATAGGACGGCGGTGGGGGGGGGGGGGGGAGTTCACGGTGGGCATCCAAATCCAACAGTGCTCAGGGCTTACTCTCAGCTCTGCACTCAGCAGTTATTCCCGGCAGTGTGCATATGGGATGCCGGGGATCAAACCCAGGCCGCTGCATGCAAGGCAAGCGTATACCGTCTCCCTAGCTTCAGTGCTTTTTTTCTAAGTCAGCTGTTCACTTCTAACATCGACTCCATTCCAGACAAGGGAATACCGAAGCTGAACATAAAGATACATGACCAAGGGGCTGGAGCGATCGTACAGCAGGGAGGGAGTTTGCCTTGCTCGTCGCCAATCCGGGTTGGATCCCCGGCATCCCATATGGTCCCCTGAGCACTGCCAGGGAGTGATTCCTGAGTGCAGAGCCAGGAGTCACCCCTGAGCATCGCTGGGTGTGACCCAAAAGCCAGGGGGGAAAAGAGGGGGACACATGACTGAAAGTGGGGTGTCACCTTCCTCAGAGTTAGAGTTGGTGCCTGGAGTTGCAAGAGCCTGAATACCTGGTCACCTCTGGGCTGAATCACAGTGTTGTCTCTCTCTGCGATGCAACTTTAAATGTCATGTGCGGTCAGTAACTTAAAGTATGGTGGGACCAGGCTGTCAGGAACCAACGAGACTCCGGCTCTTCCCCGGCCAGTCAGCCTCATGTTGCCTCCATCAACTCACGAGCATCAGCCTGATGAGCACTGCAGGAGGTACTCAGAAAATGTTCAGTGGACGTGAAACATCTGAGTGGACACTGTTGACTGCAATGTTTTGTTTTGTTTTGTCTTGTTTTGTGGGGTGGAGAAGGTGCCTGTACCTGGTGGTGCTCAGAGGTTACTCCTGGCTCTGCACTCAGGAATCATTCCGGGGGGGGGGGGGCGGGAGACCACATGTGGTGCCAGAAGTCAAATCCAGGGTCGGCCACGTGCAAGACAAGTGCCCTACCTGCTGGACCATCTCTCCAGCCCTGATCGCCAATTCTTAGTTTGAACCTAGCTATATTAAAACACAGGTAGGGCAAATTTTTTAGCTTAGCCCACTGACCATTCATTTCACGTGTTTTGTAAGTGGAGCCTTTTGTGTTTGTTTGTGAGCTACTCCATTCTTTGTGCTCAGGTGGCTTCTGGTGGTATGCAGGGGATTGTGTGGGTGCCAGGGATTAAACCAGGTCTGAAACTTTATGAGTTCAATAAAATAATTAGAATAAGCTATAAAATTAATGGGACTTAATTGCTCCTGTCTTTGCTTACCAGACCTTGTAGATTAGTGCTTGATCGTTTACCCACGGTCTTTGTCATTATCCTACCTGTCCTGTCCTCTGCATAGATCAGATTCATACTTGGATTTCTCTGTCTTTTGTTGTGGTTTTTTTTTTTTCTTTTGCTTTTTGCTTTACTCCCTGGCTCTGCACTCAGGACTTACTCCTGGCAGTGCTCAGGGGACCATATGGGATGCCGGGGATCCAACCCAGGCTGGCCGCGTGCAAGGCAAACGCCCTCCCCACTGCACTATTGCTCCATCCGTGGTTTTCTCTGTTCTTATATCAGGACCGTGAGGGTCACCATTGAGTCTCCTAGTTCCCCTGGACGTTCATGACCAGTGCTTCAGCTGAGTTCTCCCGCCGCCCAGCTCTGCTGTCCCTCGACCTTCCCCAGCCGTCTCCCTGGCTCCGGGAATCGTCGTGTCATCCTTAGGCCATCCCTAGACAGGTCTCGCCGTCTCTGTTGACGGTATTTACCAAAGGACACTTGAGTCCGCGGCTCCCAGACTGCTGCTCCTGTTGCCTGTGCTCTCACCCTGAGTGAGCTGTACAGTCCTTCCGAGCCTTCTGCCTCAACTGCTGATGGTTCCAACCCACCTCTTCTCGTTTCCCGGTTCCTTTGCCTGCATCACTTGCCGTCTTTCTTTGCCTCTTTCTCCGTGTCACATCCTGCACAGTTTTCCTTGACTCCCCGGATTAGTGGTGTCTCTCTCAGAATAAGCTCTCCAAGGGGCCAGAATTGATGGCACGGTGGAGAGGGCGTTTGCCTTGCACGCGGCCAACCTGGGTCTGATCTCCGGCATCTCCTGTGGTCCCGTGGCCAGGAGTGATCCCTGAGTGCGGAGGTGAAGTCAGCCCTGAGCACTGCGGGGTGTGGCCCCCAAACAAAACAAACTGGAACAAGCTCTTCATGTATGAAACAAAGCATCTTTGTCTTCCTTGGCAGTCGCAATTGTTTGTGATTATTTCATAGCTGTATAGCATTTCCTGAGTATTCATACTAAGTCCTTATACGCGGTACTCTTTACTCGCTCCATGTTCTCAAGGTTTTGTGGCAGGGAATTCAAACCAAAGGTCACATTCTAGAACCTGTGCCTGAGACGCATTCACGGGCTGATTCCTCGCCCTGGCCCTGCCCCCAGTTTACGTGGCATTTGTGTTCTCTGCACAATGAGGACAAGACTATCTTGTGTCGTGAGGTTACATCACCAGCAGAGACCTACGCCAGAAATACTGAGTGGACTTGGTGAACGTTTGCTGACCCATTCACCTGCGATCCACAGTCTGCTTTGTAAAGTGTGGGGCACCCGGGAGGGAATAGGACCCCCCTGGTGGTGCTCGGAGGTCACAGTGACTGTTTGGTGTCAGTGGTGGAGCCCACGCTTCCCACAGCCCAGGGCTGAGCGAAGCCCTGAGAGCTGCCTGTTCTGTGCACTTTTGTTGGAAGTTTCAGACCTGGGGAAAAGCATCGGCATGTCAGAATGTATCTAACAAGCTTCCCCCTCCTTCCACAGATAGAGGCTAGGTAGGGTAGTGAGTGACTAAGGAAGCACCGGGTGTAAGTAATTTGGGGCTGGAAGGAGGGAATGCTGAATTGGCTTGCATCGTGGATCATATTTCAGGAGAATGGGGAGCCCTGGGATTAAAGTATGGGGCAAGGTTTAGTGGTAGAAAGGGGAGTGTGAGAGGAGAGAAAGGCTTGGATTTAGGCAGCTAAAGACGGCTAGGAAGAGGGAACAGCTTATCCACGAAGGCCGGAAGCCCCCAGCACTCCCCTTAGCAGAGGTTTCTGTTTGTTAATTCTGACAACTGCATGGACTTTTAGAAGTATTTTGTACAGGAGACTAAGGTGTATGAGCTAATGATGTTAATTAAGATGTTAATCTTGTGCCACTTCCAGGCACAAGACCATGTATGACAAGATAATGTGATTTAAACCACTGCTTTCAGTCTTCTTTATAGACTAACCAGTGAAAACCACTGATTAAACCTTTTGCTTCTAGTTCTTTCTTTGGGGGCGGGGGTGTTGTTTTTGGGCCTCACCTGACAGTGCTCCAGGATTTCTCTGATTCTGCACTTGGGAATTATTCCTAGCGGTGCTTGGGGGACCATGTAGGATGCTGGGGATTGAACCCAGGTCAGCCGCGTGCAAAGCAAGTTCCCTGCCCACCGGACTTGCTCAGGCCCCGCTTTTAATACTTTTTAAGTCTCGTATTTATAAATTAATTCATCACACAGGTCGTGGTTATTTGAACAGTGCCCTGTTCATGAACTAATTTATAGACTCTTGGTATATTACAAGCATTAATTTAGCAATGAATAGCACTGCACTGTCCTCCCGTTGTTCATCAATTTACTCGAGCGGGCCCAGTAACGTCTCCATTGTGAGACTGTTACTGTGTTTGACATACTGAATACGTCACGGGTAGCTTGCCAGGCTTTGCCGTGCGGATGAGATACTCTCAGTAACTTGCCGGGCTCTCCGAGAGGGGCGGAGGAATCGAACCCGGGTCGGTCGGACTGACCGCGTGTAAGGCAAACACCCTACTGCTGTGCTATCGCTCAGAATTTTTTAGTTGGAGTGATAGCAATGAATATCTGTTGCTGTTTCTTTTTTTGTTTGTTTGGGGTCACACCTATCAGTGCTCATCAGACCATCTGAGATGTCAGGGATGAAGCCCAGGTCTCTGAAAGTAGAGCAGCCTCTCTTCCCCCCCTGCCCCCCTGCTTTTTTGGTCACACCTAGCGATGGGCCGGGGTTACTCCTGGTTTTGCACTCAGTAAGGGAATTACTTCTGATGGTGCTCAGGGAAACATAAAGGTTTTATTTATTTATTGTTTTTTGGTCACACCTAGCGATGCCCAGGGGTTACTCCTGGCTCATGCACTCAGGAATTACTCCTGGCGGTGCTCGGGGGGCCATATGGGTTGCTGGGAATTGAACCCGGGCCAGCCACGTGCAAGGCAAACACCCTACCTGCTGTGCTATCACTCCAGTCCCAAGAGCAGCCTGTCTTATCTGTGTTACCTGCCTCTTGGCTCCAGGGGGACAGCGTTTCTAACAAACCCATCAGATCCAACACATCTTCTGTTGTTGTGTTAGCATTTTAGAATCAAATTAATATTTAGGTAGTGTTCCCTTTTATTCATATTATCTGTTTGAGATGGGGATGGCAGCCTTGTCATTGCCATCTTATGTAGAAATGCACTTGTAAAAGATGCTTGTTTTCAGGGATCATCAGAGTTGAGGACTTTGTTTTCTAGAGGCATCTTAGATGCCTCTGAAAGATACAAGTAACTAGGTACTCTTTACTCTCAGGAAGTATTAAGTTAGTATTAAGTTAGGAAAACGAGCTCTATTCTCGTTTTCCCGCAAAGCAACTATCTAGAATGTGAATGTGTATCTGTATCTAAATTAAATTAGATTCCACAGTCAACAGATGTATCAGAAAAATTCCATGTTGTTAGAGACTTGGAAACCAGCCTGTTATTTTAGTATTAAATAAAAATCCAACAGACAGCGAGGAAGAGGTGTATTCGTGAGGAATCAGCTATTGCAGTTAATAACATGTATGTTTGAGCTGGGTGCTGGTGAGCATTGCAAAGCAATTGTCTCTTCTTGATTTGGTCTGGAGATGGACAAATCACACTTAATTTTTGCCGCATTTTTTCTTCAGATAATTCATTAATTTTATTTTTATCCATAAGTTCAGGATGTGACTCAGGGGTTGAGCATTTGCCTTGTATATGTGCAGCTGTGAGTTCAGTTCCCAGCACCACATAACCCCCCAAACACTGCCAGGAACAGCCTCTGAGCACAAAGCCAGTAGTGGCATAAAACCCAAAAATATTTTTTTTCCACCCATAAATTGACAGCCCTTTATTGTTTTGAATAGTTTCCTTTGCAAAGCAGGATGTGCCTTGTTGAAATGGAATGGAGCCAGTTCAGGGCTTATGGTTCGGTTGGTTTTTTCCCCCCTACAGTTTCCTCTTGGAACTCTTCTAGCTCTGGGTAAAATTAATTAAGCAGCCTTCTTTTAAAATAGTCGTTTTAACACCCCGTCTGTGGTTAATAATATTCCTGTTTTCAATTGCAGATTTCCAGTCGCCCAAACTCTTTCTTTTCTTTAAAGAATCAAAAGAGAAAGGGGCAGGAGCGATAATACATTGGGTAAAGCACTTGCCTGGCATGTGGCTGACGTGGGTTCGATCCCCGGCACCTCACAGGGTTCCCAAAGCATCACCAGGAGTGATTCCTGAGTGCAGAGCTAGCATGCTCAGGTGTGGCACCAAAAAAACCTCAAAAGTTTGAGAGTAACGGAAAGAGGAAACGAACACTATCTACAGTCAGAGGTGATGGCTTGTTTTAGAACGTGGGTGTAGTTGTGGCTTGTGCGGGCCCAGAATTGGACAGGGAATCCATCTGTGTGCTTGCCGGACCAAATGGCAGTCTTTACTCGGGCAGCAGCCCCCCGTGGACCGGCGATGAGCTGGCGGCGGGAGTGTGCAGCAGATGCACACAGGCCTTAGTGGGAGAGCCCAGGGTGAGGGCCGTAGGTCGCAGGCTGCCTGCTTAGCTTATGGGGCTCAAGCTCCAGGCATCAGTGAGCTCCTGCGACACATGGTTGTTAGGCCACTGCAGCGTATTGAAAATCCTCTCTCTCTCTCTCTCCTAGATGGATGGCGACAGTTCTACAACAGATGCTTCTCAACTGGGAATTTCGGCAGACTACATTGGGGGAAGCCATTATGTCATCCAGCCTCACGACGGTGAGAAAGCCCCAGCGAGAAACCCGTTCCCAAGCAGAAACAAGCTAGAAGAGGGGATTTTATTCGCACACCAGGCTAGGTTACTCGAGGCTTGACTCAAGGACTCTAGCATCCGGGCTGGGGGTGTGCTTTGCGTGCCGGTGCCCGTGGTTCACCAGAGACTGCCAGGTCTATCTGAGCACTCAGCCAGGAGTAGCCTCAGAGGCACCGAGAGGGGCCCCACAATCCCTCCACACTCTGCCCCCCAATTTTGTTTTTCAAACTTTTTAATCGATTCACCGTGAATTACAACAAAATTACAAAGATATTCATGATGAAGTTTTAGGCATACGATGTTCAACACCAGTCCCTTCCTCAGTGTCCACTTGGCCAGTGTCTCCAGGTTCCTTTTTTGGCTTTTCGGGTCACACCTGGCGATGCACAGGGGTTACTCCTGGCTCATGCACTCAGAAATTACTCCTGGTGGTGCTTGGGCAACCATACGAGATGCTGGGAATTAACCCGGGTCGGCTGTGGGTGCAAGGATGCCCTGCCTGCTGTGCTGCTCCAGCCCCTCCAGTTTCCCTCTGGCTCACTCCCACACCTGCAGCCGGCCTCAGAGGCAGGTACTTTCCCCCTCCCCCATTGTCCTGCTGTTCCCTTGCCTAACTTATCTCAGTGGCAGGCTTCCTGCCGAAGATTGTGTTGCCTTTGGGCATTTAATATTCTCCTACAAAAATTCTTTATATCCCACATAATGAGAGAAACCGTTCTGGGTGTGTTCCTCTTCCTCTGGCTAATTTCACTCAGCATGATACTCTCCAGATCCACCCACATAATAGCAAATTGCATGAATTCATCTTTTCTTACGACCGAGTGGTATTCCATTGTGTCTGTGTACCATAGTCTCTTCATCTAACCTTGGACATTTGGCCTTTTTTCCCCCCAGACATTGGCTATTGTGAATAATGCTGCAGTGAGCATAGGAGTGCAGAAGTCTTTTCTGCATTGTGTTTTGGGGCTCTTGGGTTATATTCCCAGGAGACAGATGGCTGGGTCAAGTGGAAGTTCAGTTCCTAGTTTTTGGAGGAATGTCCATATTACCTTCTTAAAAAGACTGGACTAGTTGACATTCCCACCAGCAGTGAACGAGGGTCCCTTTTTTCCCTGCATCCTCACCAACGCTGGTTGTTGTTAATTTCAATGTGTGCCAATCTCTGGTGTGAAGTGAGACTTGGTTGTTGTTATGATGTGCATTTCCCTGGTGATTAGTGATGTAGAGCATTTTTTCATGTGCTTTTGACCTTTTGTATTTCTTTGAGGTAGTTCTGTTCATTCCTTCTCCCCATTTTTTTTTTATGGGGTTGGATGTTTTTTCTTGTAGAGGTCTACATTGGTTTGTGTATCTTGGATCTTGATCCTTTATCGGATGAGTGGTGGACAAGTAATTTCTCCATCTGTGGGCTGTCTTTGTTTTGTGGTTATTGTTTCCTTTGAGGTGCAGAAGCTTCTTAGTTTAATGCAGTCCCATTTGTTTATCATTGCTTCCACTTGGTTGGCTAGTGGCTTTTTATCTCTAAAGATGCCTCGAGCTTCAATGCCATGCAGATTTCTGCCTATATTTTCCTTGTATACTTACTAGATTCAGGTATCATATCGAGGTCTTTAGTACATTTTGATTCGGCTTTAATGCATGGCATCAGAAAGGGGTTGTTGCTAATTTCGATGTGTGCCAATCTCTGGTGTGAAGTGAGACTTCGTTGTTGTTATGATGTGCATTTCCCTGGTGATTAGTGATGTAGAGCATTTTTTCATGTGCTTTTGGCCTTTTGTATTCATTTCTTTGCATGTGGTCAACCAGTTTTCCCAGTACCACTTGTGGGGAAGGGGCTTTCATGGCTCCACTTAATACTTTTTGCTCCTTTATCGACAATTAACTGCATGTACCTGAGGATGTGTCTCTGGGTACTGTTTGAAGTTGGGAGAAGTGATGCCTCCCATCTTTCCCCCAAAGAGTTGCTTTGGCCATTGGGGTTGTGGGGGCGAGGGAAGATAATTTTTCTATATGAATTTCATGAGTATTTGATCTATTTGAACAATGTCATGGGTATTCTTACAGGGATTGAACAGAATCTGTACAATGCTTTGGGGGGAGTATTGCCATTTTGACGCTGTTCATCCTCCCAATCTATGAGCTGGGGATGTGTTCCCATTTCTTTGCAGCTGCTTTTATTTTGTTAATGTTTTGTAGTTTTCTCTGTATATATTGGTCTTTATCTCTTTCGTTAAGCTGATTCTAAGATACTTGCTTTTCTGAGGCATAATTGTGAATGGGATTTTTAAAAAATAGATCTCGCTCTCTTCTATTTCATTATTTGCATCTAGGAAAGCCATGGATTTTTGCCTGTTCATTTTGCAACCTGCCACTTTACTATACAAATCTGTTGTTTCTAGGAGCTTTTTTGGTAGTCTTTAGGATTTTCTACATACAATATCATGTCATCTGCCAATAGTGAAAGCTATCTGAATCACCTTTTTCTCATCTAATTTCAAGTACTTCCAGTACTATATTAGAAACGGTGAGAGTGGGCAGCCTTGTCTTGTGCCTGATCTAAAACAAAGAAGTTCCACATTTTTGGGGTCGCAGTATTGTCAAAGTCTTAAAAAAGGTGTACCGTGCTGTTTTTAGAAATAGTCTTCAGGAATGATGAATTTGAGAAAAGTCTATAAAAGTATCCTTTTCTGAAGTGTCTAATTCAGTAAATCTGTTACTGAGTTCCTGTTACGTATAACAAATTCTTATTCAATAATCTTGGAGGGTGAGTTGCTAGCTATTGTATTTCTAATATCTGTGTATAGACTTTATTTAGTGCTTGAGTTATGTCAGGAATTTGAATGGCAGACTTAGGATTATGTTTCCTATCAAAAATAATTGGGTTTTATGACATTCTGTATTATAAAATTTAGAAAATATGAAGAACAAGGGCCACAAGATAGAACAAAGGGTAAGGCACTTGCACAAAAGTAAATCCCTGGAGTTCCATATGGTTCCTGCCCAGAGTAATTCCTGACTGTAGAGCCAGGAGTAAGCCCTGAGCACTGGCAGATGTGGCCCCAAAACAAAACCAAAAAGGCCCTCAGAAAACACGATGGTATATTTTCATAGGAGAAAGTTGAGTCGGGTTGGCATTGGGGGTGGGGACTCTAATAAACTGCTGCATCCTACTAGAAATACTCAAGTTTCTATTAGGATATTTATTCCTAATAGAAAAATAATTGAAGCCTGATAGTATCATTTAAATGCATAAAAATATAAGCCTAGGGGCTGGAGAGGTAGTGCAGTGGGTAGAACATGTGCCTTGCCTGGGAGCAACCTAGATTCAGTCCCCTGCTCCCCGTATGGTCGCCTGAACCCGCCAGGAATGATCTCTGAGTGCAGAGCCAGGACTAACTCAGTAATATTCAGTACCTCCCCCTCCCTGAAAAAAAAAATCGGTTCAATTAAACTTATTTCAGCTTATTGAATCAGCCTTGATTAATATAGTAGAAACTTAGGAGATACAGCATTCAGTCATCAGTGAGTAGTACTGATTCTGTGAAGGCTTCAGTTTTAGCTAAAGCAATATAATTCGAAAGCTTGTTATATGTAAGTGCATCGGTTTATTGCTATAGTTCAAAACCATTACTAGATTGTCATTATGGAGTTGAGTCAGTAATATTCAGGTTTTCCATTTTCTACAAAACTTGGCTTCAGAGAGACCAAACCTCTTTATCTGGCAACATGCACAGAGCCATAGGTCATAGTCTGAGAAATGGTGCAACGGGTATTTACAAGCTCTTTCTCTGCAGAAGATGCTGTGCCCAAAAGTCACCCCTGATGTCAAGTTGGAAACATCTAATAGGGAAATAATAGAATGGCAGGGCCCGGGCCATGGCTCAGGGACTAAAATCTTAACCCGCCCTGCCCGCCTGAGGCAGGGCCTTTATCCCTGCTGCTACCCACAGATGCGGGTTTCAGTCTGAGAGGCTCTGCTGTCTGGGTCCCAGCACCCAGCACACAGTCTAAATTAGCGCGGGCCTCAGCCTGCTGTCCGGCCTCCGGTGCGCAGCCCACACCGTCGGGGTGAGGATCCTCAGATCCTCGGAAGCGGGTTGGACATAGTGAATAGGGTTAGTTCTCGCCTGATAAAGAACCGCACTTCCTCCTGGTGAAGGTCAGTCTCTCAGGCACAGATATTCCCACTCCTTCAGCGGGACAGGAAATGACCAGAAAGGTCCCTACCCCAGTGTGGGCGGTCAGTCTTTGCACTCTTAAAGTCAAAAGATGTTTGGGGCCTAGCGATAGAGGATCTCCGTCACCCCCCCCTACGTGGCCTCTTGGGTCTCCCAGGAGTGATTTCTGAGCACAGAGCCAGGAGTAAGCCCTAGTTGTGGCTACTAGCCCAAAACCAACCAAAAAGGACGTGCTCAAACTGGATTTTTTTTTATTTCATTAGATACAGAGGACAGCATGAATGATCATGAAGACACAAACGGCTCAAAAGAAAGTTTCAGAGAACAAGATATCTATCTTCCAATTGCGAATGTGGCCAGGATAATGAAAAATGCGATCCCTCAAACAGGAAAGGTATCGATGGCACCTCCGGAGGGAAGGAGGGAGGGGGGTTGCGAAGGTAGGGGACGCACGGTCAGCATTGCCGGCGCACGCGGCCTGCGGCAGAGAAGGGCCCGGTTCCGATTCGGTTCTTTCAGCTTCGCGGTTGCTCCCCTCACCCACTTACTGGAAGTAGATAAAACCGAATTAAGAATCTCTTAGAACCTTGGGGTCAGAGAGATCTTAAAGAGGCGAAGATGCTTCTCTTGCGTGCTGCTGACCCTGGTTTGAGTCCCTGTCGCCGCACACGGCCCCCTAAACCAGAACTAGTCCCTGAGCACTGCTGGGTGGAGGGCAGAGACCTAGCTCCCTCCCACCCCACGGTGCAGCCCACTGGGGCCAGGTGCAGCCCACTGGGGTCGGGTTGCAGCTGGGAAGGCTGGAGGCCGTCTGCCCCGGAGGGCCTTGTGTTTGATCCCCAGCACCGCCTGGTACCCAGCATTGTAGAACTCTCCGTTTAAAGCACAGGAAGTAGTTGGAATCATCTTGGACTCAAGGAATTTTTGTCTTTATATTGGGAAACATTTAAAAATAAGTAATGAGGCTGGAGCGATAGCATAGCGGGTAGGGCGATTGCCTTGCATGCAGCCAACCCGGGTTCGGTTCCCAGAATCCCATATGGTCCCCCAAGCACCAAAAGCCAGGAGTAACCCCTGTGTGTGACCCAAAAAGCAAATAAATATTATTATTATACTAATACACATTTCAATTCTACTGAGGATTTTCTTGAAGTGGTTTTTAGAATGACTTAAAACCCATTGTCGGGGCTGGAGTGGATACTTTAATTGGTTCTTACATTTAAATGATAATATTTTGGATTAAAATATTAAAATGTTTAACGTTTTAGAACTCAAATGTTGAACGTTTTAATTTCAAAATCATTTTGAGATGTTAAAATTAAGTTTTAACCCGACTACCCCCCAAAATTAGTTTCTGTTGTATTATTTAAGCACTTTTGCTTTTTTTCCAGAATGTGAAATATGCATTTTTCACAGTGTAAAGACAGGGTAAAGACAGTGTATTTCGACCAGGACTTCCACAGCTTCCTTCCCGTGAGAAGAGGCTTTGGAATTGTTTGATTTGCTGCATTCCTTAGAACGGGCTCTCAGGCAGCCACCCGAGGGCTGTTGCTGGCGTGCAGGGGTGGAAGGCAGAGGCCGCCGCTGTAGCGTTTCACTGTCCAGCCCAGGACAGGAAGAGAATCGTCTCGCAGCCGCAGTGTGTGCTTCCACAGCCTCCCACTCACCAAACCAGTACCTGGCACAGTGTCACCTGACGCCATGATTCATCCTTCCCCCTTGTCGCCCTTCTGTGGATTCCGTGGGGGGTTGTAGAGGGTGGGGAGCTAGCCCTGGGCTTGTAGAACAGGCGTGGTTTTTTTTACTTTGAGGTTTTACAACCTTTATAGGGCAGTTGGAGCATTCCCTGGTTGCTTTTATTCCTAAATTACAGATGCTTTCTGGGAATACTTTGTCAGGTTTTTCCTATTTGTACTTTGTTTTATTCTCTGAGGGTTGGCTGGGACTTTGATAGCACACACTGTATCGATGTAATTAGCCGACTTCAGAGGTTAAGGTTAACCATTAACCGAAATTGGTCCTCTGAATAGCTTTTTATTTTTGCAGGTTGTTGGAAGGTGGAGATTACGTTTCCATCCAATACATAGGTGTATTTATGATTTTTCTGTGCAGATTGCGAAAGATGCCAAAGAATGTGTTCAAGAATGTGTGAGTGAGTTCATCAGCTTTATCACTTCAGAAGCCAGTGAGAGATGTCACCAGGAAAAACGGAAGACAATCAACGGGGAAGATATCCTCTTCGCCATGTCTACCTTGGGCTTCGACAGTTACGTAGAACCTCTAAAATTATACCTTCAAAAGTTCAGAGAAGTAAGTAAAATGTCTGTTTACTTTAACTTTTTTTTTTTTTTTTTTTGCTTTTTGGGTCACACCCAGCGATACTCAGGGGTTCCTCCTGGCTCTGCACTCAGGAATTACTCCTGGCAGTGCTTGGGGACCATATGGGATGCCGGGGATTGAACTTGGGTCGGCCGAGTGCAAGGCAAATGCCCTACCCATTGTGCTATCACTCTGGCCCTACTTTAACTTTTTAAAGGTATTTTTCTTTTAAAATACATATTGTCGCATTTATAACATTTCTTAGCAATATAAAAATAAGCTTATAAAATATAAAAATAAGCCCTGCGTCCTTTAGTACCAGTGAGAGGTGATGATTCAGAGGAAGATGGGATTTGTGCTCCACCCTTGTGAACTTTGTGACCCTAGGCAAATTAGTCAGGGTTTTTTAAGTCTTCGTTTCCTGGTCTGTAAAGAAAGGCTAATAGCGTAATACCTACATCATAGTTATTAATAAAAGGACTAAGTTTAGCACTTAGCCTGGCTGCTAGTATATGCTGCTCTTGCTAATTTCGAGGGTGGCACCTCAAAGCCAATTTTCTTTTCTTTTCTTTTCTTCTAATTTTATTTTCATAAAGTTGTTCCCAATAATGGATTACATTAAATATTTTGACACCAGTCCCACCAGCAGTACGTCTTCCCACCACCATTATTTTGAATTTTTCCCACCACCACTCAAACCTGCTGAATAGGTAGATGCTAGATAATTTATTTTGTGTTGCTTCTTATGAATAGCATGAGATATCTTGCAGCCGCACACTCCTGGAATTTAGAATTTTAGATATTAGGGTCTGGAGAAATCTCTGCAGGGAACTGCTCGATTTTGAGATTCTTTTGTGTGTCTCTCTGGATCTTGGCTGTTAAGGAGCTTACCTGGCAGCCAGAGGCAGTTCGTGGGCTTAACATCCAGGGTCCCTTAGGGGTGGGGAGAAGAGAAGGACCTGCCCATCCCCTATCCCTTGAGGCCTGGAGTTTGCCGGCACTGAACCTGTGTAGCTGGGCTTCTCGTTGGGTTCTGGAAATTGGAGATCACTGGGATTCCTAGGGGGCCAGGCAGAGGCACTACGTGCAAAGCCAGTTTTCCATTGGGGGCTGTGTGTGTGGTGGTGGACTTGAGGAAAACAAAGAATCGTGACTCTGTTCCTTTGTTATAGCGATTGCATTCTGAAGCCTTTTCTTTTGGCTTCCTCTGTGGTTTTTATTTGTTTGGATTTGGGGCAATGTAGGGAGGGCCCACATCCAGTGGTGCTCAGGGTTTACTCCTGGCTCTGTGCTCAGTGATCCCTACTTGGGGGACCATATGATGTGCTGGGGAGCAAACCTGGGTGGGTCCTATGTGTGGCGAGCGCCTTTCTCTGCTCTCCTTTGGTCTGGGTTATCTTTAACTGTGGTATGAGTTTTGTGAAAGCAAGCTGAAGTCTCTCTCTCTCTCTCTCTCTCTCTCTCTCTCTCTCTCTCTTTTTCTCTCTCCTCCCCCCTCCACCCCCCCCCCCCCAACATGGGAGTGTGTCTCACCTTGCTTTCCAAATGTTTTCTTCATCTTTAGAGACCCAATAAATTGGTGGTCTCTGCATGAGATGATTAAAATAGGGCAAACTTATGTCAATTGTTCACAGGTTTTTCTTCTTCAGCATCATAGCACCTGAATGCAGAAAGAAACTTAGAGATGTCCAAACAAGAAACTTGATTTAGCAGTTTGAAACTCTCGGTGCCAACGATGTGAGACATTTTTCTGTCTAAGCTGGACACCTCCCCTGATTTAGGAATTTTAAACCTAAGCTTGCTGCTACAGCTCCTTTCATTTGGCCAAGCAATGTGTGGTACCTTGGGGCATTTCTAGTTGATTAATAGGCTGAGCACTTAGATTTTTTTTTTTTTTTGCAGTAGTCATTATCTGTAGGTAGAATTTGGAACTAGAGCATTTTCTTTTCTTTTTTTTTTTTTATTGTGGTTGAGATGACATTGTTACAATAGTGTTTACGTTCATACATGTGGTATACAAAATCATTGCCCGGGCATCACCAGCGGAGTCCAGGATTTCCCATTACTGTTCAGGTGTCATTTCTGGTCTGTCTCTTCCTTTCTTGTCTCCCACCCTCCTGCCTCCGTAGCCTCGGTTCTATATTCAAATTTCAAGCAGTTGTCATTAGATACTGTCCAGTCCCTCGCCTTTGCTTTGTACCACATGTAAGATCATCTTTTATCCTTTCCCTCTTACCTTTCTTGATGTGATACCTTCCAGTTCCATCCAGGTTGTAGTAAAAGGCAAGATTTCATCGTTCCTTGTCGCTGAGGAGCATTCCACGGTGCATATTCATCAGTTTGTTTGTTTTTTTACTGTTGTTGTTTTTGGGTTTTGGGCCACACCCTGTAGTGCTCAGGTGTTACTCCTGGCTCTGCACTCACTAATCAATCCTGGCAGTGCTCTGGGGACATACGGGGTGCTGGAGATGTGCAAAGCAAGTGCCCTACCCACTATACTATCTCTCTGCCCCCTCACTGTTTCCTTATCCTTCCATTTCATGTTGATTCCAGACGCTAGCTGTTGTAAATAACGCTGCAGTGAATATAGGTGTGCATAGATCTTTTTGAACTTACGTTTTGTATCCTTGGGGTAAATGCTAAGGATTTGAAATCATTAGGTAATGCACAGTAGCACCGTCCTCCCGTTGTTCATCTATTTGCTCGAGCGGGCACCAGTAATGTCTGCATTGTGAGACTGTTGTTACTATTTTTGGCATATCGAATACGTCACGGGGAGCTTACCAGGCTTTACCATGCGGCATTAGGTAATGAGGAAGTACTGTTTTGTAATTTCTTGTTTCGGTGGTACCCGGTGTACCATGCAGTACTGCGTAGCACACCTGGCTGTCTGCGTCGAAAGCATGCACTGACTGTTGCGCTCTCCGGCCCATTTTAATTTTTCTGAGTAGTCGCCATACCATTTTCCACAGAGGCTGTGTTTATTTACATTCCCACCCCCAGTGGACGCGGGCCCCTCTCTCACTGTGTGGAAATGACATCATCCGATTTTCACGATGAACATTTTTTTATATGCCGTCTGTCCATCTGTATATTTGTATATTCTTTTCAGGGAAGTGCCTGGTCATTTCCTCTCCCCACCTTTTGGTGGGGTTATTAGTGGAATTTTTTTGTTCTTTATGAGCACTTTCTATATTGTAGGTTTGTATATTTCTCCCCTTTAAGCAATTTCTTTATTTTCACTCGTAAGTATTTTAGATTTTCTCTGCCATTACAAATACTGTCTTACAGATGATTTTGCTCATGTAAAAAGCTGACATTTTGACAGGCTTCTTCATGTGTAATTTACTAGAATAGTTACAAGAACCTAATAGTTGAAACTCCTAGTTTTTGGAAATAAGTAGGTTCATTGTCATTTAGAGATATTCATTTTCCCTTTGCTTTTGGACTATGTCCAGCAATGCTCAAGGCATACTCCTGGCTCTGCTCTCAGGACTCACTCCTAGTGGTGGGATGCTGGGGTTCAAACCAGGCTTGGCCACTTACAAGGCAAGGGCCTTACCTTACCCACTGTCCTGTCTTCGACCTAACGTTTCCTTTGAATGCCAGTGATACTCTTGTCTTCTTTCCACAGGCTATGAAAGGGGAGAAGGGAATTGGTGGAGCAGTCACAGCTACAGACGGACTCAGTGAAGAACTAACAGAGGAGGCATTTAGTAAGCAGTGTCACTCATTCACCAAACAGAGTTTGTGCTCACAAGTCATGGGAATTCTTTTTCATTGATTGGATTTGGGGGTCAGACCTGAGAATGCTCGGGCCTGACTGACTCTGCACTCAGGGGTCACTCCTGGCAGTGCTTGGGGACCCTCTGAGGTTCGGGGGATCACGCCCTGATCAGCCCTGTGCAGGAAATGCCCTACCTGCTACCTCTCTTCCTGCTGTAGTGGCTCCTTGGGAAGGTCGCACCGTGCTCTGTGTCGCACTGTTCTGAACTGTTCTATTTAGTGCATGTCCCCGTAGCTGAGGTCAGTCAGAAGTGCTGACACTTTAATTCTGCAGACATTTTAAATCTTTGATTGATCAGCCTTGTTTCCACAACCTCTAGTTTTTGGGTTTAAAATCTACCTATGAGAGGAATTTTGGAAACTTGAGCTTATAATATCAAGTCTTTGAATTTAAATTTGAAGTAAAGGGTCTTTTCGTTGTGAAATTGATAGCACTGAAATGAAAGCTCTCTGGTGATGCTATTTCACAAATGTTGTTTATTTCTTATGTAAGAGACCTGCGTGGTGATGTAAGTGCTGGGCCAGCCAGGCGGCAGGGGTCGGTCTGCCTGCAGACCCACAGCCCCGAGGAGTCTTCCAGAGGGACAGGGGATAGTTAGTGGGATATGCACTGAGAGTTACTCAGAAAATGGAAAAATGCTTTTTTTTTTTTTAAGAGAGCTTTTTATTTCATTTTATTTTTTAATTGAATCATCAGGAGATACAGCTACAGAATTGCTCACGATTGGGCTTCAGTCATACAGTGCTCCAGCACCCGTCCCTTCACCAGTGAAGCTTTTTATTTTAAATGAAGGGGGATGAGTGACAGAATTATGAGATGTTAGTGGTAAAACTTAAGCTTCGGGTTCAAGAAAGTAAATACAAGGAAGTTTCCTGCTTTAACTTGTTTTATTTTCTTTTAGCTAATCAGTTACCAGCTGGTTTAATCACTGCAGATGGTCAGCAACAAAATGTTATGGTTTACACAACATCCTATCAACAGGTACGGGATCTTTTTAAAACAAAATTTTTAAAAAATTGTTTTTAAAATGGCTCGTACCCATTATCACAGGTAATTCAGCTTACCATTATTATAACTTGTTTAAGAAGGTTGCTAAAAATTGTTTTCTCAAAATATGATTGCGCCCCGTAGTCTTATAATTACCAAAAAATTGCATACACACATGTTTATATATCTGTTGAAGATTACTAGTAAGATACACAGAACATTTTTAAGTAGCTTCCTTGGCTTTTCCGGGCTAGAAAGAATTGGGAAGTAGAGATCATTATTTTCATTGTCTGTTTTTCTTCTTTGAATAGTTTTAATATTCTTGTGCTATTTTAACTCTGCTGAATTTAAATTTTCCGATTTTTAGATTTCTGGTGTTCAACAAATTCAGTTTTCATGATCTGAAGAAATGGAGGACTGAGGAGTGTAGAAAAGCGAGAGCCTGTGATTTCCGGCACGGAGACATCAGCAAGAAATGAGTGGTGGAGGATGTCTCTCTGTATATTAAATAGCTGTAATGTAGCTTCCTGATGCTTGACTAATTGAGGTGTTAATTCTGACTTGAGAATCTTTTTCATGAATGATTTTAAAAAGGAAAAAATTTGGATTTTAAAGGTATTAAAATATTTTTGTTTTGTACGAGAGTTTGTTGCTCTGTATGACTCCTGTATGCATTGTATATTGCAGTTTATTACTGTCAGAGATTTGTAGACAGTTTCTTATTTTCATATTGAATCATGTTACTTTTGTAATTCAAGTAAGCAGCTGGGTTAATTCATGATGTTTGCCCTTTTAATAAAATATAAGGGTAGAGTTCATTTTGAATGCAAGTTGCCTTTATTATAAATTTGAGTTTGTCTTGATTATTAATATGTTGCATGATAACCTACCTAGATTTTTTGGCATTGCCATATTTATTAAGTTTTTTCTTTTTTTTTTGTTTTTGCAAAACATTCATAGCCTCAGCCACACTGTTTTTTAAGAAGTGTAACTGAAAAATTAAAGTGTGAACGCAGAAGCCAATTGTCTGCCTGTAAAAAAAAAACCCGGTGGCCGTCAGCAGTGTTCACACTGTTCCTTGTGCCTGTTAAGAGAGTTTTGTTCTGCTGGATCTTTTGTTAAGAAGACTCATTTGTTTTGAGTTACACGATGATGATTTTGGAATTTGTTTATGTTCAATGTAGTTGCGGTGCTCTTGAAATGGTCTGCCCCTTTCATTTTGTATATGATTTTTTTCCAAGGCCCATCTCCTGATGTGATCGTTTTATCTTCCAGAAGAGAACTTGGATAGTCTGATAGTAAATATCTTCGTTTTTTTTTTTTTTTTTGGACTCAGCAGAAAAGTTTTATTTAAGGACAAACCAACCATATCCAAAGCCTTTAACAGACAAACAGAAGGAGCCACACTTAAAGCTTGAGATACTGAGATCCAAGACAGACACTGGGGGGTGGGGAGGGGCAGGAGATACTTTAACCATCAAAAGCTTCTACCCGACTCTGCTCCAACAACAGTTGAGCTCTGCCAGGGCATGGGGGGTGGCTGAGGGGAAGCGCCGATCTGCAAACCAAAGGAGGACGTGCGCATCTGTGTGTATCTCAGAATGCTTTAGAAAGGAAATATTCATGCAGAAGGGGAGAGGGGGACGATGGAGGCTCCTCGGGGCATTAGGCTGCCTTGCAGAGGGCCACAGCAGAAAAGCGGACTTCCCCTTGCTCCCGCTTGGTGAATTCTCGGCACACCTTGGCAGCATCCTGCAGTAGTGAGCCCGCTGAGCCGGATCCATGGTTCACGGGGAAGGGCGTTCGGCCATCAGTTTCATAGAGGTGGCCGTCCACATTGTTGAACAGAATAAAATGGAAATTTACTTCGTCCTCTACCTGACACTGGCCCTCCTGGGCCACGGCATCATGGGCTGCCTGGATAGCCTCGTTCTCAAAGCATTTGGCTCGGTCTTCGGGGGACAACTTCTCCGTTTCAGAAAGCAACTGTTTTCAGGATTGACCCGTCATTGAGCTCCAGCTTGTCTTGGTTAGTGGCCCCGGCGTGGATCAGCCCGGTGGTCCCACAGGAGTTGCCGATGGTCTGCTTCATGAAGTACACTTTGGGGCTTTACTGCTGGTCCCTTCAGCTCTTCAAACTGCTTTTTCCTCAAGTGCTCATGCTGTATGGTGAGGGGAAACACCAGCAGCGCGCAGATGGGCGCAGGCACCGAGCCCAGCACCGCCTCCAGCCCCAAGACATCAGCGAAGCACCACTGGCCGGCGACCTCCAAGCAGGCCAGCACTTTGTTCAGCATCTCGGCGTCGATCTCCATGGGTTTGAGCTGCATCTTCGCGACGGGAGGAGCCACTGGCCACAGAAGAGGAAAAACGGCTAAATATCTTCATTTTACCTTTTTAATTAAATGTCAAATTTCTATTCTAACCGTGGGAACCAAGAGACGTCAGACGTGTGCGTCCGGCCCTCCCAGTGCCGGGATGAGTGAGTGGCCAGGGTCCCAGCGGGGATGCTTGGAATGCGGGGACGGAAGCTCCAGCTTGCAGTGTGCTGTCTTCATTGTGGCAATAAACTAAACTTAGATTATGTCACTTGGTATAATTTAGTAGTATGTGCTTGGGTTCTTCTTTTTTTTTTTTTCAGAGTGAGGTTTTGTATTTTCTCTTTAAATGCTGATTTGAAATGGTTTTTAAAATACCAGTTGCCGCTGGGTAGTTTGCCTCAAAGGGAGTTTGAGTGAACACCGCCTTAGGAGGACACGGAAGTGTGCAAGGTAGAAGCCGTTTCCCAAAATACAGCCAGAACGGGAATCTAGACGTTTCCAGAGGAGCCTTGTGGAATCTGCATGGGGGTATCTTGACCTATGTGAAGTAATAAATGCCCTCAGTAATTTCCCCTTTAAATAATCATTGCGGAAAATAAAGGTAGATGGTTAAGCAGAATCAACCATTATCCTACTATGTTGAAATAACAAATGTAAATAACTTGATAAATACCATCTGTCCTTTTACTTGCTAAATATGTGTATTTTTATAAAAATGAGCTCATTCTTGGATACTGTTTTGTAATCCTTTTTTCCCCACTGAATAATATATTGTGAACATTTCCCCCTGTTCTGTTATATGGTTGAACCATTATTATTTAATTACCTTTTGGACATTTTGACTATTTACATCATTTAGGATATAAATAACACTTCACTGAATCTATGTATCTCCAAACCTGTTTTCTTAAAAAAAAAAAATTCTTAGAATTTCTGGCTAATTGATAAACCAGTTGGTGGAAGGCTTGATATATATATGTGTGTTTCTGAAATACTTTCCATTTCATTCAGATAGTATGTCATTAGATAACAGATAACAAGCATTTGTCTTTGGTTATCAGATTCTTTCTCTAAAATCAAAGGTTGATTTGTGTTCAAGAATCAAGAAAGGAATTAGAAGGGCTCGACATAACCATATCACCAGTACAGGATTTGCATGCAGGAGGTCCAGGTTCTATCCCTGGACCTGTAGCCCCCAAGCACTGCTGGGAGTGGCCCAAAAAATGAACTGCAGAAAAAATGGAATTATTATTTTTATATATCTGCAGTGCCAGCAGTTGAACCCAGCACCTCACATACCAAGGCAAGTGCTCTACCGTGGAGTTATACGCAGCTCTTTAGACAACTTGAATATTTATATAATTATACACAGAAGGGAATTTCTTTTCTTTTTTTAATTGAATCACCATGAGATACACAGTTACAAAGTTGTTCATGATTGGGTTTCAGTCATACAATGTTCCAACACCCAAAGGGAATCTCTACATTTGCCTGGAACTAAAACCAGAGTCAGTAAAATCAGGTTAACTTTGGGGTGTTTTTTTGCTGCTGTTTTTGGTTAGTTTTGTTTTGGTTTCGGGGCCACACCTGGCAATGCTCAGGGTTTCCTACTAGCTAGAAGTAACTCCTGGTGGTGCTCTGGGGACCATATGGGATGCCAGGGATAGAACCCACGTTGGCCGGATGCAAGACCAGCACCTGCCCACTTACTACTACCCCCCCCACCTTTAGGTTTTATGACCTCCATACTCTGAACAAACATTAGCATTATACACTTGACAGATACATACTCACCTTTCTTGCAAAGGAGTGGTAGTTTGGGCCTAGTGTTCGGCCTGTGTTGCGTATAGTTGAATGTACTCCCCACCCCAGCTTAAATTTCTTAAGAATATAAGCATCTACATTGTACTAAAAATGGGAAGCTTTTTTTTTTTTGGCGGGGGGGGGGGGGGGAGCATTTGGGGACATACCCAGCAATGCTCAGGGGTTACTCCTGGCCCTGCACTCAGGAATTACTCCTGGCAGTGCTCAGAGGACCATAAGGGATACTGAGAATCATAGTTCCAGCCCCCTGAACTAAAAATATTTTAAAGAATGATACATGCTTAAAATAATCTGAGAAATGTTTTGTTTTTGTGACACCACAGAAGAATAAATGAACTTAATTAGCTTCTAGGGTGGAGTGATAGCACAGCGGTAGGGCGTTTGCCTTGCACACGGCCGGCCTGGCCGAGCCGGGTTCGATTCCTCTGCCCCTCTTGGAGAGCCTGGCAAGAGTATTGCGCCCGCACGGCAAAGCCTGGCAAGCTACCCATGACGTATTCGATATGCCATACAAGTCTCATAATGTTATTGGGCCCGCCCAAGCAAAGAGATGAGCAACGGGAGGACAGTGACAGGTTCTATTCAGTATGCCAAAAATACTAACAAGTCTCACAATTTACTGTGAGACGTTACTGGTGCCCGCTCGAGCAAATCGATGAACAACAGGAGGACAGTGCTACAGTGCTTCTCACTACCTGTTCCTCTCCTCCTCCAACCACCTCCGCCGTTTGTGGGTCATATCCTGTGGAGCTCAGGGTTTTCTCCTCGCTCTGCATTCAGGAAGAACTCCTGGTGTTATTCAGGGGACCATATGGGATGCCGGGGATCAAATCTGGATTGGCTGCTTGCAAGGCAAAAGTCCTTCCCGCTGTGCTAACACTCTAGCCCCTGTTTTTGTTCTTTAACGCTATTGGGCATGGCTTTTGTCTGGCCATGTAGCTGACCAGGAGTTGATCCCCAGCATCCCAGATGATTCCTTGAGCCTGCTAGGTGTTATCTCCAAGTACAGAACCAGTAGTAAACCCTATGCACTGCCAGGTGTGCCCCCCCCCAAAAAAAAAACCCAAAAGAAAAATCTATTTGGTATAATGATATTTTAAGTAACTTTTTTAGTTTCTCTTACAGCATTTTCCTTTATTCAGAACATGCTGTATTCTCTGTATTCTAATTGTTGAATAACATTTTCTGTTTTTTTTTTTTTTTTAATTTTGAAGTGCTAGGGATTGAACCCGGGCCTCCCTCATGCACTCCCTCTGAGCCATACCCCGGCCTGCAGTTTCTTTTTTTTTATTTACATTTTATTGAATCACTGCAGTTTCTTTTATCATGTTAAATGAACAGAGTTTGGAAGGCCATCTACTGCACTAGTGATTAGGCATGATAAATGAAAGAAAAAGTTCATGATTTGCAGCCAGTGAAGTCCTGCAGTACAAGACTTGAAATATTTCCCCCCCCTAGGGAGGCAAAGGGGAGATGTGTTACTCTCTTTCATTTTTCTGATTTGTCTAGCTTATTGGCAGAGGTGGGCATACCTGGCGGTGCTCACTGATTATTGGGGTGAGGTTAATACCCCACAGTGGTCAGGGATCACTCCTGGCAAGGCCCAAGGACCATGTGGTGCCAGGGATCAACCCAGGTTGGCGACACCCTATTAGCTGCACTCTCCAGTTCCA